TTTGGCAAAAAAACCCACATTATAAGAAGATTGTGTTTGATTTAAATGGTATTTCTAAATCATGTGAGGATGAGGTAAAACAACTTGGAGTTACAATTGATTTTAAATTAAACTTCAATTTATATATTTCAAATATTTGTAAAAAGGCTGCCAGGCAATTATATGTTTTGAAAAGAATTTGGAAACACCTAAACAAACTGAATAAACTTAACATTTATTACTCTGATAAAACGTCGCATTCATAAATTGACAAACTGTGTGAATGATCTACCAAAGTCATTTTTCAGAGACAAAGAGGCTGTGAAATGACTATCATCTCTTCACTATAAGTATGTTGTTGTTCCTGCAGACAAGACTTTAAATACTATTGTCTTTGTATGTAAATCGTACTACTATGAGTAACTTGTAAAAGAATTAGGAATAAATCCCACAGGTAATCCCACATACAAAAACATAGCATTTGACAAGAATGAGATTTTGGCGAATCATAAGTCCTTCTTGGCTTCAATGAACATAACATTGTACAACAAATCGGAGGACTTACTTTGTTTGTATTGGATACCTAAGCTTCACAAAATTCCGTACAAACAACGGTACATTGTCAGCTCATCTGCATGTTCGACTAAATAATTGTCCATTAGGTTGACAAAAAATCTGTCCGCAGTGAAAGAGGGTCTTCAGAAATACTGTGAAACTGTTTACTCGCGTAGTGGTATTAACCATATGTGGATTCTAAAAAACTCTAAAGAACTTCTGGATTAATTTTAAATCTCGATCTTTTTCTCACATTAGTTCTATCAACACTTTTGATTTTTCAACCCTGTGTATGTGAAATTGAAAAATCGTCTAAAAGAAATAATCCACAGTGCTTTTCAACATAAAAATGGTAGCATACGCTATACATTAGTTACTTTGGGATACCATACGGCATATTTTGTTAAAAGCGAACAAAAAGGTAAAACATGCTACACAGACGAACAAGTGGTCAGTATTCTGGAGTTTCTTATTGACAACATATTTGTTGAATTTGGAGGTAGACTTTGTCAACAAATTGTCGGCATTGCTATGGGAACGAACTGTGCGCCTCTCCTTGCCGACCTTTTCTTATTTTCATATGAATCGGAGTTCCTTCAGACACTTGTCAAAAACAAGAAGATCAAAGAAGCCGGGTCATTTAATTTCACATTCAGAGATATTAATGATGTTCTTTCCATTAACAATCCAAACTGTTCTGATTGGGTTCCACTAATATATCCCCCAGAACTAGAAATTAAAGAAACAACAGACACGGCTTTCTCCGCCTCATTTTTAGACTTATACCACGAATTTGACATACACGGTCATCTCAGTACCAGAATCTATGACAAACGAGATTATTTAATTTTGAAATTATCAATTTCCCCAACCTTAGTAGCAATATACTAACTTCACCTGCATATGGGATATATATTTCCCAACTTATTCGGTATTCAAGAGCTTGCAGCTCCTACTCATACTTTGTAAAACGTCACTAGTGTCTGGGCAGAAAGTTGATGAACCAGGGGTATGTCAAGAACGTCTCGTCCTTATTAAAAAAAAGTCATCGGAAGGTACAAAGACTTTGTTGATAAATATTCCGTATCAACTTAACAAATAATACACGACGGTCTTGAAGTATAGATTATGGGTACCGACGTTGTTTATCTTCCTAATAACGTGTTATATATTCTCTTTTTTTATGTCTTTATGAATATTACTTTTACTGTTTAGTCTGTTTTTGGTGATATCCTTTTGACGTGGCTCTGTACTTATACATCCCGTCATTGTGTTATTGTTCTATGGTACATTTTTTGTATTCTTGTCTTTCATTTTTGCTAATGTACTTTGTCTATATGCCCTTTTTAAGTTTCTTTGTTACATATGACGTGACTCTGTACTCATACATCCTGTCATTGTGTCATTGTTTTATGGTACAACTTTTGTATTCTTGTCTTTCATTTTTACTAATGTGCTTTGTCTATATGCCTTTTGTGGTATTTTGTTACATATGACGTGACTCTGTACTTATACATCCCGTCATTTTGTTATTGTGCTATGGTAAATTTTTATATCCTTGTCTTTCATTTTTGCTTATTAACTTTGTTTATATGTCTTTTTGTGCTTCTTTGTTACATATTTGTTTGTTTTTATAGTGATTAAGATTATAACACAATGCTGAGTGCTGTAACCCTATTTTTGATATTTTTACCTATTATGTCTGTTTGTTTTGTTCACACATCGTTGTCAATATAATGGAATTTTATACGACTGTCATACAAGTGAAAGGTTTAGCTAGGTATAAAACAAGGTTTAATCAACCATTTTCTACATAAGAAAATGCCTGTACTAAGTCAAAAATATGACAGTTGTTATCCATTCGTTTGATATGTTTCAGCTTTTGATTTTGGCATTTGATAAGGGATTTTCGTTTTGAATTTTCCTCGGAATTCAGTATTTTTGTGATTTTACTTTTTGTTATGTCAAACATTAGTACTGTTCTTTACTTAGCATTTCTGTGGGGAACAAAATACGACAAAAATAGAAAAAAATACAAGAGCGAGCACTTCGTTTTCTTTATGAAGACCATCAGAACTCGTACGAAACACTCCTGAAGATTTCAAACCTTTCATCATTAAAAAATAGTAGAATACGCTCAATTGTTTCGGAGACCTTTAAAATAATTTAACAAAATGTCCTTTATTTATTCATGATCTAGTTGTTGAAATAATAATTCATATAATTTCAGGTATGTGAACACTGCTGAGGTATCTAGACCAAGAACCACAAGTTATGGTAAAAGATCTTTCAGATTTGAGGCAGCACAAGTATGGAATACCCTTCCCAATGAGGCTAGAACTATGACCTCTTTTGACCAATTTAGGAATTTTATAAATTCCTGGAGTGGGGGTCAAAATACAACTGCAGTTCATGTCATTTCCATCCAGTGCTGCCTCATAGCTGAAATTTCTTTCTTCCCGTTTTTGTTTTTCTTTTATGGCCTTTTGTTCTGCTTTTTTATGCATGATTTGATAGCTGCTATTGAATGCCAGTGCTCAATTTATCTATTTATTGTTGCTTTTGAGTTTGTTAGTATTTTTTAATATTTTAGTGATTGCTGGTTCCCTCATTCAATGCACACAGAGGTGCTTGCCGCATGAGCATTGACCCTGAAGATTCAGAAATCAAAATTAATTTGCATTCATTATATCTGCATGTTTTTTATTTTTTTTTATTAGTATTTGCATGAAGCTGCATGATTTTTATTTGATAGTCGGTTAAAGAGCTCAGTTTTTTCTGTTATGTATATATATGCCGTCTTGAAATAAAATTTATTTACTTACTTTCTTACTTACTTATCACTTATGGTTTACCGGTTACAAATGCATATCACTTATATCAAAAGCATAAGGGGTAATAACTATCATATGGAGTCTCCGGATCTCTTCGGTCAAAATTATTCTCCATACTTTTAGGATATAACGAGCAACTTGGTAAACTAAATTTATCGTCGTCTTTTACGGTTGCGAAGGAGTATTACGAACAAGAAAAACAGTGTTCGGGGAGATAACTCTCACAAAGTTAAGAGTTCGGTTAAATAGTGTCAGATTTAATAGCGTTTAAACTGTTCGATATTGTTTTGAAAGTCTTGCCACCCAAAAACACATATTTAGTCAATCAACAAAATAAGTAACATGATAAATAACGTCAGTACCTTAATTGTATACTTCAAGACAATCATGTATCATTTGTGAAGTTGATAAAGAACATTATCAACAAGGTCTTGGTATCTTTTGATGAATTTTTTTTTAGAAAATGGACGAGACGTTCTTTACATAACCCTGGTTCATCAACTTGCTGCTGAAGTTTGAGGTATAAGTCTTAAAAAATCTAATTATATCATAAAATCTTATCTAATCAGGTTTAAAAAGCTTTTGATAATACATTATAGAATGAATTCGAATATTTATTCTGAAAGTATTGGATGTAAAATTGACATTTAGAATGTACCTTTCTTATAAGAATTAGATTTTATGATATTTTTTAGCAGTAGTTCAACAAGTGAATTAAGGAAACTTATGTAATATAAAAGAAATTCTCAAGAAGTAAAACAATAAATCACCTAGGTTACTGTTTTTGTCATTAGACTAACATATTTCCTTTTCTGGAAAGCAATACCAATTAAGGTCAAACATTCGATAAATAGAACACTTTGAAATATATATATCATTGGTTTATGGGTTAAATCTTTTTATTTAGAAATAAATTTAGCAAAATTGCATGATTTTAATCAGACTCGGTGTGGCATGAGTGCCAATGAGACAACTCAAAGGTCAAAATACGGTCTTCAACACGGGGCCTTGGCTCGCACCGAACAGCAAGTTATAAAGGACCCGAAAAATGACTAGTGTAAAACCATTCAAACGGGAAAACCAACGGTCTAATCTATATAAAAAACGAGAAACGAAAAACATTTATGAACCACATCAACAAACGACAACTATTGAACATCAGATTCCTGACTTAGGACAGGTGCAAACAAATGCAGCGGGTTTATGTTCAGTTGTTGGTGAATTTAATTAACTGAGTGTGTAAATATTTTTTTGCATAATACTACATCTACATTCATCGAGGACTCCCATTGTCAGACTTTATTCAAGTAAGTAGTGGTTGTATATACATGCGTTCATGAATGATAAATCCTTGTATTAATGTATCTGTGCAATTGGAAAACAAAATAAATTTAAACTAAGAAAACGAATCGTACTTGATTAATCATCTTTAATTCCTATAAAATCTCAATGATTTGGGTATAAGTATGTCTTGGCATTTCGAATATTTAGGATACAAGGTTTTTTTCACTCTGAGGATTAGAGTATTTTGCCGATACGTTTATAGATTTTATAAGCAACATTATGCTGACATTGATTTTGATGAAAGATTCAACAAAGTTTGACAAGTATGTACAAAACGTCAACTCGTACCTTATTTTCTCTATTTGGATCTATATCTGCTCTTTCTAATAACAATTGCACTATGTCGAGATTTCCACCACTAGCAGCTAAGTGCAAGGGAGTATCACCATTATTCTGAAATTAAAAAAAATTGCACTGCTCATTGCATCATATGAAAGTTAACACAAACAATTCGTACAAATGATTACAGTACACAAAATTACATCTGCCAACATTTCGAGAAGTTAATGAACTTCAAACCGTTTTTGTTTATCGCAATTTTGTTTAAACTGTAAATATGGATTAAGTTGATAACATGTGTACATAAAATCTGGTCATTGTAATGTGTATTCGAATCCCATTTTTTTTGACAAAGATTAAAATAAATTGCCTGTTTTCCAGAAGTTTCATTGTCCTGTGTGTTTATTCCAACTTCCTCCACCAACAAAACCTGGTCGCCTTGGTATATCTATTAGTACTGTACATAGCATCAAATTCAATAAACAAATTCACGAACATTATCATGGTGCGACTCATAGTAAAACAGTTGATATCATTACCGGCAGATTTTTAGAAAGTGGTATCAGTGACGGCAATCGAAATAATATATGATGTTAAAAGCTGTCAAAATAATATAGCAGAAATACACAAGCTGCTAAAATCTACGTAATTGAAAGTTGTCTCATCGGCAATCATATCACATTTTCTTTTTTAATATGTTTTGGGATATTTGAAATCTTTACATCATTTGTCTTTCTTTTTATTCGATGTCTCAAACAATTTAGCAGTTGTACTACTCGACAAATCTAGTCATACCCTTCTTTTTCTTGGGATTTGTATAGTTAATAAAAATATTTCCCGTTCTCTACTTCTTTGGTTTTGATGGAAGATTTAACAAAGTTGGACAATCCTGTAAAAAATGTAATCCCGTACCTTGTTTTCTTTATTTAGATCTATATCTGTTCTTTCTAATAACAATTTAACTATGTTGATGAAACCACCTCTAGCAGCTGCGTGTAAGGGAGTATTATAAAACTGAAATAAAAAGCTTGCAATGATCGTATTATCCTGCATGTGTATAAACAAACATTGTCATATTAACGATTACAACAAAATAGCATTGTTCAAAAATTCGAGAATATAACGAATTCCAAAAACAGTTTTTCTCAATCGCATTTCTGTTGAAACTGTAAATGTTGATTAATTTAATAAATTGTATACAAAAAAAAACATGTTTATAGTTATGTGTATTCGAATTCCTTTTAAATTTACAAAGATTGCCTGTTTTGGATCCGAAAGTCGGTTGTTCTGTCTGTTTACTCCAGGTTCTTTCACCAACAAAAACTGGTCGTCATCGTATAACAAATATCCATGAACGTCGTTTTATACTCCAAAAAACAATTTCACGAACAATATCATGGTAAGTTGTATCACGCCCATAGTATAGCAGTTAGTTTCATTACGGGAAGATATCAAGAAAGTGGTCTCAGTCAAGACAATCGAAATAAGATATGATGTTAAAAGCTGTCAAAATTTTATAGCAGAAACAGACAATCTGCTAACATCTACGTCGTTTGTTACGTAGTTAAAAGTTGTCTCATTTGCAATACTATCACATTTTTATCCCCATATATATCAGGATATGTGTAATTCTAACATCATTTTTCTTCGTATTTTTATGTCTCAAACGATTTAGCAATTACAAATATATTTATATATAGATATAAATAAATATAACTTTGAATTTTTGAAATACTAAGGCTTTTCTATCTCAGGAATAGATTACCTTAGCTGTATTTGGCAAAACTTTTAGATATTTTTGGTCCTCAATGCTCTTCAACTTCGTACTTTATTTGGCATTTTTAATATTTTTGTATTCGAGCGTCACTGATGAGTCTTTTGTAGACGAAACGCGCGTCTGGCGTAAATATAAAATTTCAATCCTGGTATCTATGATGAGTTTATTTATATACTATCTAACCAATATATTTATACCCTATCTTTTTTTTATTTGTAGTATTCTTCTTCTTTGATTTTGATGGAAGATTTAACAAAATTGGACAATCCTGTAAAGAACATCATCCCGTACCGTAGTTTGTTTATTTGGCTCTATATCTGCTCTTTCTGATAACAGTTTATCTATGTTGTTGAATCCACCTTAAGCAGCTGTATGTAATGGAGTACTATATATAAACTCATCATAAATACCAGGATTGAAATTTTGTATTTGCGCCAGACGTGCGTTTCGTCTACAAAAGACTCATCAGTGTCTAATGAAATTCTAGCGCTCGAATAAAAAAAATAAATAAAAAAGGCCAAATAAAGTACGAAGTTGAAGAGCATTGAGGACAAATATTTCTAAAAGTTTTGCCAAATACAGCTAAGGTAATCTATTCCTGAGGTAGAAAAGCCTTAGTATTTAAAAAATTCAAAGATTTGTTAACAGTTAATTTATAATTATGACCATATCAATGATAACTCATGTCAACACAGCAGTGCTGACTACTAGGCTGGTGGTACCCTCGGTGAATAAAAAATCCACCAGCAGTGGCATCGACCCAGTGGTTGTAAATAAACTGATCATAAATATCAGGATTGAAATTTTGTATTTGCGCCATAATACTGAAATAAAAAGCTTGCAATGTTCGTATTTCAGAGATATTAACAGACTATGTCAACCAAAGATTAGATGTTCATGGTGATTTGTATCCGAATCCCGTTTAAATTGACAAAGGTTGCCTGTTTTCCAGAAGTTCTGTTCTTCTGTGTGTTTATTCCAGGTTCCTCCACCAACAAAACCTGGTCGCTATGGTAGAGCCATTAATACTGTACGTGGCATCAAACTCAACGAACAAATACACGACCAATATCATTGTGAGTTATATCACACTCATAGTAACAAATGATCTCATTACGGGCAGATTTTAAGAAAGAGGTCTTAGTCAAGGCAATCGAAATAACATAAGATATAGTTGAAGCTGTCAAAAAAATATTGAAAAACAGACAAACTGCTTACACCTACGTCATTTGTGACATAGTTGAAATTTGTCTCAGTGGCAATCACATCACATTTACTTTTTCAATATGTGTCAGGATATTTGTAATTTTAACATCATTTTTCTTTTCTTTATTTTTATTGGATGTATCTTTTTTTTTTTGGGGGGGGGGGGGGGGGGGATGGGGAATGTGTATATGTGTATATTTTAATAATACTATTTTCAGTTCTCTTCTTTGGTTTTGAAGGAAGATTTAACAAAATTGGACACTCTTGTGAAGAACGTCATTTCTTACCTTATTTTCTTTGTTTGGATCTATATCTGTTCTTTTCAATAACAACTGAACTATTTCGAACTGTTTACCACTAACAGCTGAGTGTAAGGGAGCATCACCATTCTGTAAAAAATACCATAATACTGAAATGTTCGTAATTTCCTACAGAGGTATAAAAAAATATTTCATACAAATGATTAGAGTACAAAAAAGCATTGGCCAACAATTCGAGATTAATGAATATCAAAATCGTTTTTAAAAATTGCATTTTGATGAAACTGTACACATGCATGAAGTATATAACTTGTGTACATACACCATCTTTATAGTGCGCAGCGACGTTAAGGGCGTTTCAAGAAATTTCCCATTATTATACACAGGAAAAATCATATTGAACTCAAAGTAAGTTTTCTCTGCCTAAAGGCCAAAATGCACGTCAAAGGCGTAAACGGAGGAAAAAGGGTCTATTCTGAATTACATTCCAAACTTTTATTTATAGAAAAATATAAATACACTAGTGTCACGTGACTTCAAACTGAAAGTAAGGACATTTCCCCAAAAAGTCAAAAGGGCAGGTGCAAGATGAAATCGGATCGCCCTGGTTTTGGGCTCCCTGTAATCAGGATAACTTATTTTACTGGAAAAGTGCTGTGCCTAGTTTTTAATAGAGGTTATTTAAATATAAAACAATAAAACATGGAGATTTTTTTCGATTTATTGACTTTTTGGCACTTCGGATTGTGAAATTTCTTTTACACGAACGCTATATAACTAGGCACAGCACTTTTTGAAAAATTTGAAAAGTGGCCTTTTTTACCAATACCAGAATTGAATGGGTTGGTAAAGCTCTTGCATCTGCCCTTTTCTATTAATGTAACATGAAGTAGCATTATCGCCTTGAACTGAGAGAGAAAAACGTTTGAAAGACCCTACAGTAGTCGGATCGGCTGACGGAAAAACTAAGTGTATTTTTTGTACTCACCGTGAAGCGTTTCATATAATTCTTTAATAAAGTCATGATGGAGCGAATAAACAAATATTCTCTTATTGCTTGCTTAATTAATTGAAGGTTCCAATTCAGAATACGTTTTTTTTTTCAAAGAATTTTAATTGTGACAGGCTGGATTTTCATAAAATAGAATGTTTACATCTTCTGTCATTAATCATGTTAATATTTGCATATCCACCTCTTGTGTATATTACCGCAAATGGCAGAGGCGGATTCAGGTGGGCTCTGACCCCTTGTGTATCAACCAATTTATAGTTAATATATACACCTTTTATATGTCACACTCCAAACTTCGATTAGTGTTGGGACACGCAGCCCCCCTTTTTTGTCCAAATCCGGAATCCGCATCTGGGGTCCTAGTGTAGTTCTCATTTTGCAAGTGCAAGTTCATTATATAAATTAATAGCATACTAGGTCTCTTCTAGTGCTTTTATATTTGGAAACATTAACATTTTAATGAAAAAAGTTGCATTTTTACAAAGAACTTAAATATACCAAAATTCATGTCTTTTTGTGTTTGCTCTTTATCATTGATGTTTAAATTACAAATATGAACTCCTGCCTGCATATATAAATATTCAGATATTACTAGTTGAATATCTCCTGCATCTCAAGTGCGACTGGTATCAATTTGTAAATCATGATTGGGAGGTCTTTTTGAATTTATTCTGGTGGGGGCAGGGTGATTTTTTTGTTTGTCTCTAATTGAATATGAATTTTCACCAGTTACCAGGCCAGTATTTTGTATGGCTTGCTTTTAGAAAAAAAAATGTCCCCAGTGGTTTCCTGCATTTTGTTGAACAGAATATTCCTTTCATCCCATCTGGATCAATATTTCACTTATTCTAACATTTTTACAGTTACTTGGTAAAATATTCTGCCCTCCTTCTTTCTTATTTAATATTGTTTGGAATATTCAAAAGCACACACCAGCATTAACATGGGGGATATAATTCCGTTTTCCTAGAATGAGTAAGTTTTAATATTTGAACAAACTTCCTTTTTGGGGTAAGGATTAGAAGTGTGGCATTGAGTACCCCATACTAAAAAAGAAAGTACCTTGAGCTCTCAGGATTTATGATTACCCTATATCATAAAGCAATAACCAGTTTGACAAATATTGGATGCATATAGCATGTATAGTACAACTAATTTTAATTGCATCTGTTAAAAAATCCACAACCGATTAGTTTCAGATACATGTACATGTACCTATGATTTAATCAGCAACCTTGTCATATTCATCATCTTAATTTCTCAACCTTATAGTATACAATTGTACCATGAAGTTGGAAATAGTGACCTATTTGTTTCTGCCGTTCATTTCATATTAAATTCCTGCCTACCAAAGTGTCCACCTATACAAATGGACAGCCAAGAAATAGCCAAAAGTGCTTACGTGACATTCAGCACAATCAATCAATTGTTTTTTTATTATCAAGTGCCATAATATTTTAAGGTTCATCTTAAAATCAGAAAACTTATTTCCCATCACCTGCTGAGATTGGAAGCAACTGAATGGTATTTCTTTTCTGTCAGAATGAAAGAAATTCTATGTACCAGTATATATAAATATACAGAAATCTTAATCACAATTTTTACATATATATATATATAGAGTCTATAAGAATCTACCAACCAGTAAACTTAATAGGTATTGGATCATCAAAATTGACAATACTACACAAACAGGGAAAATTATATGAGTCTAAAAGATTGTGTAACAATACCGATAAATAGATGGAAAACAAAACACTAAAAAGTGTTGAATATCATCGCACAAAGATGGAAAAACTGAACAGATGATATAAATTATACAATAATTGCAAATATTTCGGCTAAACAAATGGCCTTCCTCAGTGTTAAAAGTTTTAACAATACTGATATATAATGTATAAGGATTATGTACAGGATCGAACAGGATTGTACATGGCAAAATAGGCAAAGAGAGAATCGGGAGAAGTTTTAGATAAAAACAATGGGTGTCCTCCATCCATATGGAATCAATAGAAAGAAATAATTAAATTTACAGTCTAATGTTTATATTATGATATTCAGGATTTTGGATTAAAATCAATCGACCAAAACTTACCTGTATTATTATTGATCTATGTTTACACCTTATACATTTTATATCAGTATTGTTAAAACTTTTAACACTGAGGAAGGCCATTTGTTGAGCCGAAATATTTGCAATTATTGTATAATTTATATCATCTGTTCAGTTTTTCCATCTTTGTGCGATGATATTCAACACTTTTTAGTGTTTTGTTTTCCATCTATTTATCGGTATTGTTACACAATCTTTTAGACTCATATATATATATATATATATATATATATATATATATATATACACAAGTCTAAATTGAAAACAACATTCAAACCTATGAAGTGTATATAGATATATACATGATATATATACACAAGTCTAAATTGAAAACAACGTTCAAACCTATGATTGCATTGGATAAAAACCGCAATTTTTATACGTGTGCATGCAAAACACATTTCTTGTTAGAGGGGTCTAAATACAGCACAAACAACATTTTCCAAAAGACCAAAAGAGTGAAAAAGTATATTTCAACAAAACGCATTTGACTGACAGGTCGAACAACTGATGTTCTTAAACCCTGCTGACTGCCATTGGCGATTGCCAAATAAACGGATCACCGATGTAATAAATGGATCTTTATTTTAGATTTAACACTAAACAGAAAATAAACTTGCGGAAAAAATGGTATACCGCAAACAATATATATACATGTGTACACAATCCAAAAGTTTCAGGGGAATGAATAATGACATATCTATAGAGGACAGGACAAAATAGTCAGCATGGAAATTAAAATGATATGTAAACGCTTAAAAAAAATAATGCCTACCAAATATCATTGACAAGGGTATAACCAGTGGTTAATCTTTACCGGACCCAATCACAAAAAGTAAAATGACTTAATTGTTAATCAAAACTTCATTGGCAATTATACCACATCATCTTATTATATCAAATTCAAAACAAGAAAAAAGCAATTTCTGTCTGTGTTGGGGATGCTGTCTCATTGCCGTACATGTATACCCAACATCTTTTGCTAAACCTGCTAGATATAAGAATCTCTTATACTGTGAAAATATTCTATCACAAGTTTCCAAGTTTATATATATATCCTTCAAAAAGACTCAGAAATTTTCGAGTAAATTTATTCCCAAGATATTAAATTATAATTATTGAACAATGCCAGGACAAAAAATGTGAGATTAATTATTGCAGTTTCAGGAAATGCTGGATTCAAAATTAAATAATACCATCATTTAAATAAATTTATATTTTTTTTTTGCCAAACGTATACAATGGTATTACCAATTTTAATTGTTGTTGTTACTGGACCTTCTACAATTTAGACAAGATATGAAAACATTGCTAAATTTTCTGATTTCTAAGTATAGACAAACTAGATAAACATGTACATGTACATGTACATATGTAAAAAATGGCAGCTACTTGGTATAAATGCAAGCAAAGAAAATACCCATTATAATTGTCTTGTTCAAACATTCTGTGACCGGTTACAGAGGTCTTGCTCAGTATTGAAGGCCAACATCAATATGACCAACAACTGCAATTAAAACACTTTTTTATGCTTTTGAACTTTTTGTATACCTGTATTCTGTGTTATGAAATGAAATTGAAATATAAATCATGATAAAATATGATTTTCTTGTTCTCTGGTGGACAATATATGACTATTTGTTCTCTAATGGAGAGTTGTTCCATTGGCAATCATACATGTATGTCATATTCTTAGTTCTAAAATTACATGTAACTCCATTTGTGGTGCATCAGTGAATTGTATGCCTACATGTATATCTCGTGTATATCTGTAGGTAGGATTAATGTTTAAATCAAATTACTTTATCTTTTCCCTGTACTTGCCATAAAAATAACAAAACACTCATATAAGTCTTATAAATGAATATTTCCTTCTTTACAGTTCAACTGAATATGATATATATTTCTATCTGCAAATGATCTTTAGATATCTCACTTGGTTAGATATTGCAGATTTTTCAAATATTTCATGAAAGAGACGACAAATTACATCCGTGAAATACATTTTTTTTTTAAATGAAATCCTTTTTTGAAACTCCAATT